AAAGATAACTATGTATGGTTAGTTTTTATATTTCTGCATGCACACGTATTCATGGTGCATCTGGATATTCTTTTTTTTTTTAATTTTGCAGGTGCCCTTTTCAATATTAAGTTTTTATTTACTGGCTTCAGCTTGCAAATGGTTTTACCAGTGTCTCTGTCTATGTTATTCTCACTTATAAAGCATGCAGTAGGTCTGACTCTGCTTTTTTCAGAATCTTTAAACTTCCAGATTTCTGAAGGGTGAGTGTTTTCAAAGGTTCACAACCTCCACTGAACAAAGTTTACGATATACTAATTAATTCCCTGGAAATTGATTTTAGTAGTCTTTGTAGTGCTATCTTATTTGCCAAACGTATTTTTTTTCTTTTTTGTTATATTTTAGTGCAGAATTCCAGTGCAGGGCTCGAAGATAGCCACATCTTGAGAGCACACAACATCTAACTCCCTGGCAGGTACAACTTCATTTAAAGTCATCTTCTCAGGAAAAATTTGAGTCAGGACACTGGACACTGCTTCTGTGCCAGGGCTTGCATTTATTATTCTGTGTATCCTGCTGTGTAGCCTAAACAGGAATAAAAATACAACAGGATGAACTAGCTGCAGAGTGTGATCAAATTCAGTACAAAGCAGCAAAGAACCACACCTTGAAACAACACACTTTGTTTGAGTACTTGGCATTAAAGGTAAAGGAAAGAGGAACTTGCTACAGGAAATCGTAACCCATAGACTGCTACCTTGCAGGCAGAAACCATATGCTGGAATGTATGCAGGAAAGAGAAGGCATGTGAATGCACAAATTTTGCCCGCAGCTTTTCTGTGATCCCCGGCAACCTGAGTTAGCATCTTTTACCATCGGTATGCTTATACAGTGGAAACGTTGACAAGCTGCAAAAGCAGCAAAAAATTGTGAGCAAAGGTCCCAGGGAGGGACACTATTGCCAGCCAGACCAAACACACTGTCACAGACAGAAGTTGTGAAACACAGAGATGGAGGGAATAATGAGAAGTTTATTGAAAAGCTGTTGTGTTTGCTAGTTTGGGAGGGGTTTTGGCTCCTCCTCACTACCTCACCAGTTAACAGAGTTAATTTGGATAAATTTCAACTGTAAATGAGTGATAGGTAGAAAATTGTGAAAGGTGAAAATAAAGCCTGAAGTATTTCATTAAATATACAGCCAATGGGTAAATCCTTCCCATTAGTTATGGGCACAGGTTAAAATGAAAGGGGGAAGACATGAGAATTAAGGAACTTACAAGTCTTTCCTCTCTTTAAACACATACAGTGTGCTGCATATTCTCACAGCCACGAGACAGAGCTGGGTCTACCAAGTCCTTATTGCTTCCATAATATGCTCAAACTTCAAGGGGATGTCCATAAATCTGGCAGTAAATAAGCCGATGATTCATACTGTTCCTACAGCAAGACAGCAGGATCAAAGTCTTTCTCCTTCATCACTTGCTCAGTCCTTGAGTTACCCTGCCAGTTCCTGGCCATGAGTGTTTTTCATTATTTCATCGCACATCAAGAATTGCAGTGTCTTACAGAGCAGAGTAAACTAGATTTAATTTAAGTAGAAACTTGGGCTGTGCTTATACGACACTCCTTTTTTTAAATTATTTTTACACCAAGATGGTTTTGTAAATAGTCTATTGTGCTGTAAAATGAAAGCCAAGTTCTCTGCCATGTACCTACCACCAACTGTCTGCTGAGATTGCTGAATTATATTATAGAGTAAGACTTAGGCTATTGCTAAGTCGCTGAGTCACCAACCAATCTTGCTAGACAGTATATTCTAAGCTTTTGGTCTAGCACAATAGAAAAAGCTTTGACATAGTTTCAAGCAATGCTATCAGCACCAGTAAGTAGACAGACATCAGGAAGGATGGATCATGGAGAAATTCAGACAAAAATCAGAAAGTATTTACTGCAACCACACCAGTTACACTTTAGGGTTTCAGTTGCACTGAAAGGCTGACAGCTTCCCCGCTACTATGCTGGGTCATTCCTACAATATGGATTCAGAGAAGGATGACAACCATTATACACTCCTTTCAGCTGTACAAGATGGTCAGCCTTCAGATACAGGCATGAGTTCTCAATTCAATTTTGCTTAGTTTGAAAGATTTCTTTCTTCAATAAAAATATTCCAATTTTGAAGTACTTTACATGAACAGATTCCTATGAAAAACTGGGAGTCCTACTGATATGACTTTGTTCTGGATTTCACTGGAAGCTTGCATTTGTATAGGAGTTTCCTTGTATAGGACTGTTGGTTTGGGGGGTTGGAGTTTTTTTACTTCTACATAATAAATACCAGAGGGATAGATAATATTTTTTCATGTGCATGCAATTTCCTCTTTTTCTAGTTAATAAATGTTTTTTTAGCTCTTACCAAGTATCTGTTCACCCTGGAATATGTGATAATCTTGAAGAATAAACAAGTATACTTTTTTGTTAGAGTAGGGTTATTTTGTTTTACCTGGTGTATGCTTCTTTGAGTAGAAAGACAAGAGGAAAGAGCAAGCCATTTGGCACCCCATAAATCAACTGTCCCAATTATTGTCTTGATTTCTTTACTCACGTGTCTGCATTTAAATGTTTTAAATATGTGAATTCTTAGTACAAAAATGAAAGACCTGAAAATTAAACATTCCATGATGGCTTCCTCTGCACAAGTTTCAGCAAGTTAACTAGGAAATGCTGACTACCTGCTATGACCAGTGGCTGAAATTAATTGTTCAACATCTATGCAAGTTAAACTCTCAATCTTGATCCTAATGAAATTTATTACCAATGCTAGCTTAAATGCATATGCATGAAAGACAAGGTCCTTCTATTTACCCATAACAGTCACAGAAAGAACATACAAGTACTACTGTAGGGTTGAAACTCAAAAATCTTTTACAATTTTTATAGTGTCCTATAAAAGAAAAGGGCATAGGTACATGTATATGTTAGTCAGTCTAACATGGTTGCCTCCACACCTCTTGAGCACTTTCCACAGAAGACCTGTTAAAATACCATGTGAGTTTTACACAGACATAAAGCTTCTGCTGAAGGACTGCAAATTCCACCTATCTGTTAAAAATCTGTTTGTCACAGGAACATCCCAAAAGGGAACATCGAAGAGCTATTGCCACAATTTCAAGTCTTTGTTGTAACAGTAATCATCCTGGTCCAAGGACACAAACAAGGCAAAGTTTACAAACAGGAATAATTTATTTAGGCAGAGGTTTTAGACACTTGAGCTCTTATCCAGATATAATTAAACAAAAAGAAGTCTTTGCCTACAAGATTCATCTTGTAACAGGTTTTAATTGCTCTGATGCAGTGTCAAGTATATAACATATTGGCTCCTAATAATAAAATAATAAAAAAATGTAACAACCCCTTAAATTTACAGATATTTTTGTAACTCAGTCTTGAGGGAAATCACTGAAACTGCTAGTAAAACTAACTTTGTTCATATATGAAGCCAAAATCACAATCCATATTTTGTAGAAAAGCTAGTTAAATGCTATGAGTTGCTCAGCTGAGAGGTGTAATGAAAAATATCTCTGTTTTCCCACCCTTTTTGTTTTCACAGACAAAACACTTAGTTGTAAAAATATAGAGATGGCAAAACTAAGTGCTCAAAACTTGTGAAGTGGTGTTTAAAGGCCCTGTATGACCTTGCTGGAATATCACCTTGTTTGTCCTGCCACCCCTGATTGGGTTATACGTTTGCATCCCAATTTTTCCCACAGAGGCTCTGTCCTGCTCTGTGCAGAAGCAAAAGGGTTGGGTTTTTTAAACAGTGTCCCCCATGTTCTGTTCTCTCTGTTTCTTCCTATATTTCCAGCTTGCTTTTTCCTCTTGATCTAGGGAAAGTTCATACTTCCTCCCACGTCCTTGCCATTCTACCTGTCCATATCTATACACTCTTGACTGCACACTCGCACGTTTCCCAGTTTTTATCCTTTCCTTCAACACTTTCCCCCTCTAAGTTTATATTCCCCATTCAGTCCCTCTACTTTCTCTTCTATTTGTTTTCTTTTTTTTTTAGCAAAAAAAACCCACAACTCCCACTTTCTACCTATCTGCCTTTAGATAGTCAGATTTTTTTTACATTTGTAAAGCTGAGGAGGATACCTGTAGACATTCCAGCAGTATGTAATAGTCCAAGACATGGTAAGATATGACCAAAATGTCAATCAAAAAGTATTAAGTGTAGCTGTAGAAAGCCAAAAAAAGGAGAAAGTAACCTGGAACAAAGTTTTGTAAACCTTTTACTAGGCCTAAGTATGCCTTATTAGTTGTATGTTAAGTGAAATAAGCTTTTTAGCCTCAGTAGGCCAGCAAGGACACCTAAATATAGGAAAAGGTTATAATAAAAATATTATTAACAGCAATGAACTCTTCACCTTTGATAATTGACCTCAGTGATGGGCAGCAAAGTTGGACTAAAGCTGAATTCAATTTCACCACCTTTTCTCCAGGTAGAGTGGATATATTTCTATTACTGCATATCCATGTCAAGGATTAGGTGCTCTAAGGCAGTTTTCGGCCAGCACCGATCTCCCGTTTGCACAGCACTTCCCAGCTGCAATGAGGTTGCAGCTTTTTGCCATAAAATATCTATAAATGGGTTATTTCCGCCTAAAAGACAGGCCACCACCCTTAGCGGGTTCCAGGGGTCCGGGATGACCCTCCTGCGGCAGGAAGCAGCGTCGGGGGGCTCCCAGCCCCGTGGGGCCACCTCTCGCCTTCCCCAGGGAGCAGACACAGCTCGCTTTTAGGGCTGTAAGCGAAAAACAGGAGATGGGCTTAAAGCGTAAAATTCTAAAAGCTGGTCAAGTCCATAAACGCGGAAAAAAACCCGACCTCGAAAGACGAGGCGTCGGAGCCGAGCCGGCTGGGGACGCGGCACACCTGCCTCCTCCCTTGCCCTCGGGCCCGGGAGGGCGCTCAGGGGTTAAGCCCATTCGGGGGCGGAGGCAGCCCTGCCGGGCTCCGCCGCGCCGCGGGTCCCAATGGGGCCGGCGGGGCTGAGCGGGCCGTGCCCTCGGAGCGGGGCGATGTTGCAGGGTCCGCCGGGCGCGAGGCACCCCAACGACCTGCCCGACCACGCTCCGTGGGTGCGCAGCGCCGTGGCCGAGCTGCGGCAGCGGGCGGAGGCAGAGCCCGGGCAGCGCTGGCCGCAGCCCCTCTCCGATGCCTTCCTGGTGCGGTTCCTGCGCGCCAGAGACTTCCACATGGACCTGGCCTGGAGGGTAAAGAGCAGCGGTGGCCGCCCGCGGAGAGGAGGGGGAGGAGGGGGCGGCGGCATCTCTCGGTGCCTGGGTAGCCCCCGCGGTGGCTGTCACCGGCCTGCCCCGGCCCGGGGACGTGGGTAGCAGCCGGACGGGGACTATCGCTGGGTGTTGGGTGGGTGAGTGAGCTCTGCCCTTCTGGGGTCGGCCGAGGCCAGCCGAGGAGTTTCAGGGTGTAACTTAATTGCTTGTCACGCGTGTCTTCAGCGTGGCACCGACTGAATGTGCTGTCTCACATTCAGCGTGGCTGGTTCTGTGCAGTGTCGATGAGGTAACATAGAAGTTGTGGTAAGTGTGGTACAGTCACTCCCGTATGCAGTAAGTGCGGTAAGGTTACAGCTCCCGTTAGGAAACAGTATCCTTGAAAGGACATCCTTGTCATGATTGTCGGGCTCAGGTTACTCGTTACTAGCAGCGATACAATTACTCTAAAAAAAACTATGTGTAAAAACTTCTTTACTCTTGAAGTTTAGTCATTTACACCACTCCTTGCAGGTTTTGGTAAATCATAGTACTTCCTGGCTCTTTGTATGGCTTTTTGCCACAGCGCATGCATATCTTTAATATCCAAAGGTACAGATTGTTACCTTTTTTTTTTTTTTTTTTTTTTTTTTTTTTTTTTTTTTTTTTTTTTTAAAGAAAGACTGGCAACCACTAAACCTTTGGAACAGAAAGTATTTCCAAATCTTCCCAGGGCAAAAGCTGATTCACAGTGTGCCAACTGGAAGCTGTGTTTCCATGGAATTTGATGTTGATTACATAGCGTTGCCCAAGAGACTTCACCTATTACTTTCCGACTTCTCTGTACTGTAGATTTTCCAAGTTTAGTCACCATAAGAGAAGATTGTTTGCATACAGATGTATTGCAGGACTGAGATATCTAAAAAAAAGAATGTGAAAAACTGAATTAGGCCCTTAATCATAAATAGCTTTAAAAATTAGATTTTTGTTTTTTTCATTTGACTCATGGGATTTGTGTCATAGATTTAAACCTTTCCTCCTCAGCAGAAAAACTAGGGAGTCAATTCAGATTCCTTTGGGTATTTATGGATCTTACTTTTGCTTGAAGTTCATGAGATTTTTTTATATCAAAGCTGTGCACTAACAGTTGTAGGACCATGTTGGTTTTTTTCTTTCCCAACAAAAGCCATTTTATTTTCCTATATTCCTTGGTTCCAAAAAGCAGGGCTTAATGAGGACAATATGCACTACTGAATATCCACTCCTGCTTGCATTGCAGTTGGTTGTTACTCGTAATCCTGTAGACAGGACAGTGAAATTCAGAATTTGGCCCATGCACTTCTGCACTTTGATGTGACTAATCATGAGGTCCATTGTAGGTAGGTCTAATATTTGAGAGTGTGGAATCTAAGCTAGGTTTAGGGATGGAGTCCATGAAGTAGCAAATTTCCTATACTCCTCTTGAGAATCAGTCCTCTAGACTGGGGACCTGCTTTGAAAAAATTAAGTCTTTTTAGAATCTTTTATTTTTTTTTCTGGGTCTCCACAGGCTGCTAAGTTTCTGAATTTCAGCCCTTTCTTTGAATTGAGAAATTCTGATGTCCAAACCAACCTGTGTTTAATGTTTCTGTCTAGAATTTCTGTTCTCCCCATGCTGTAGGTATTTGTGCTTAATGTTTCACATACTAGCTGACACTTTTTTTCTAGAATACTTCTCTTGCAGCATAGGAGGAATAAAAGAAGCATACCCCCCCTCCCCTTTGGCCAAAGGAATGTGCTTATTGCAATCGGGAGATCAAGGCCCAAGAGAATTATTGTGCAAAAATCTGTGGTGGTCACAAGACGTATATTCATCTAACCCAAGTGAGACTTCATGCAGAGGTTACATTAGTACTTCATCCTAGACAGAGCCCTCCTGCCATCAGTCCAGAGAGTAGCTGTTCCCTCCCATCCTGGTTTGATGTTGCCTCTTCTTTTGGAATTCAGGCTGATACAATCCCTTTTTGCCCACTGGGCTCCTGTGTACCTACTGCATAGGACTTGTAGAGCAGCTAAAGGATAATCAAAGTTCGTGGCCCTGTCAATGCTTTTAAGCAACGGTTGTCCAGCATCTTGGTATGGGCTTACAATTAGCCTTAAATATGAATCAAGAGTCTGTCAACTGACCAGACTGTTTATTGATGGTTAATAATTGACACAGATTTATCTGATGTCTGTTATCAACATTTGGAAATGCTTCAGAAAAGAATAATCAGGTATAATCTTTTATGGTGACTAACTGCAACATCAATCTTTTACATTTTTCCAGAGGCAATTCCAGACTTGCTTTTAACTACTGACATATTGATACCTATCATGCTAGAAGAAATAAATTCATACCTGAATATAAATTCATACCTGAGCTGAGGGTTGAGTTAGTTTGTGGAGATACATTTAACTCCTTTATATACTGTAAACTAAGAAGCAGGGACACAGGTCTCTATTAATTGTGCTAAAGCAATGGGTTTATATATCCCTTTTTTAATGTACCAGCTATGTGTGTATGTTTGATTTTATTGTTATCATCAAAACCGCTGTCACTTGGATTCACTAGTGATATGCAAAATCTGGAGAATTAGCATCTTCTTTCCACCATGAATGTTTTTGCCTAGTGCATTTCATTATGTCCTTGCATTACATTCCCCAACTCTTCTATAGGACTGATTTTCAATGACTTCAATATGCTGTCTTTTTCTACTTGAAATGCATTATACTCTGGGGAACAGAATGAAAATCTTTAAATGCAGTAAAAATGCAACATTGAAACTCTATGCCCAGAGTTTTCATAACATACTTAGCTTTTACGGCACTGAAAACTCTCTAAATATTTAGGATCCTTTTAGGAGTTCTGGTTGATACAAAGGTATATGGCAAGACTTAGGGTTTGCTCTGCATTTGACTTACAGAGGAATCAGGACTTCCTAGTGTGTTGTGCTGCAAAGTCAGTAACTTACAATAACTGTGCTGTCCAAGAAGGGTTGTTTTTCATAGTTCCAAATGTACTACTGAGTCTCAGGCATTGTCTCTGAAGATCTTCACATCATTCAAACATAAATACTAAGTTTAAATCAGTTACTTGGCTACCTTTCTTCCACCAATACCAAGGGATTCCTCGAAAAGGATGGAAGAGCCCTTATTAAGCTCTCTGGGCTGACTGTTGAGGAAGCACCAATCAGTCAGCCAGACTTCCCTTTGCGCTAAGCCAAATATCTCAACTTACACATGCACCAGTCCTTTGCCAATGGCAAAGAGGTAATGCATGTGGAAATGAGAAAGTTCTGTGTCTCTATAAAATGATTCTCAATTTTTTCTCTGTGTATATTATATGTTTAAATTCTGGGTATATCTATATACACGTATATAAAAAGAAATATAAAATATATATGCACAAAGGTGTGGATGTATATATATATAGATGTATGTTTATATTCTAAAGTTTAAGCTGTGGTTTTTCCTGCTAAAAATGCCAATAGAAATCCTTTTTTCCTAAGCATTGTGGGCATTGGTACAACTGCTGACACAATAGAGGCTTAGTTCTGTCTAGCGTCCTTGTTAACATAAATAAATAGTTATTAATGAAGAAAAAAATAATTAATTTACATATACAGATGCATTGGTTTCTCCAACAAGTGCATTGTTTTCTAGTTCTTTTACTTCTAAGCAAAGTACTAAGTTCACTTTTTTTTATAGCACATGAATTTTGGTTTAATTAGTAACTTTATAATCTCTGATGTTCAGAAATCTGGAACTATCCCCAACAGACATCAGAAAAAAATCCTCTTAATTAATGCTTAGCTCCAGTCCAGAGTTTTTCCATCCAGCTTTACCCATTTATCAAGTTATCTTGCATCTATTTTCAGGTGCTGAGCAGATGCTAAGTAGGTTATTCAGTTTGTAAACACATATAATTATACATTGTGATGTTTTCCTTGTGTTGCAAGTTCCTAAGCCACTTTTTATGCTAGGTAATGAATGTGCTTGTTTTTCCTGACACTAGGTTTTTCTATTTATATCCAGACTGTTTGTTATACAGAACATTTATGTTTTCCTTGATGTCTTTACGGAAAAAAAAAAATTTATAGATTTTGCATTAATTTTTGTGTTTAAATAGTATGAGACTAGAAAACCTGTAAGTACCCACTGCTAGCTTTTTAATTCTGTTACATGTTTAAGGATTACTCATTTAAGTAACTATGTGTGATCTGAGCATGTCCAGCTCCTAAAAAAAGGATTGTTTACGTGAATAAAAATTTACAGAACTTCTACAAAACTGGTTGTAGATGCTGTGGAAGATTATCTAACCTTTACTTCAGTTCTAAATCATTTCAACCTAATTAGATTAGGTTTTCAAAATCTGAGAACTCTTCAGCACTTCTTGATTTTCTGGCCAAGTGAAATATGTTTGAAGCTTAGCCATGTTATATGTCTGAAAGATGCACCACTTGCTCATGTTGTGAAAAGTGTCAGATCAGAAGTATTCCAACTATATATTTACTCCTTAGTGGATGCGCCAGTAGGTAAATTATGTCTTCTGTATGATCTTGAGTGTGTCACAAGCTGCTAAACACTACTCTCTTTCTTCAAAGGTCCAGAACTCAAAACCTTTTTGTTTCCAACTTGGAAAATGTAAATATTTCTGAAAATGAGAAACTAACTGTACTGACAAGATGAGGGTATTAAATGAATGTATCATTTTTATTCTTATCTTAGTTTTGGCAGGCAGCTCTTCAAAGAACCATTTAAAATATGTAATTAAAATATGTAATTGTTATTAGGTTCATTAAGTTGTCATACCAGAAATTTTAGAAGAAAAGTGAGAAATGACAAAGCTACAGATGTTTGCCTAGTTGTTCTGTATTGTTGCTTTTGTATTTTGCTGCTTTTAAAGTGTCTATTTTGGAAAGACCAAGGACAAGAACATATGTTGACAGTGTTGTCTGGTTGGCACAAAGCGGCTGGAATTGGTCAAACAGTGTCCTTTGTAGAGAGTCATGCACTAGAAGAGTGAGATAATCAGAGTACCTCATCAGGCCTATTTTTGCAATTATAGTGAATTTCCCTTCCACAAATTAACTTACTTTCCCTATTCCCCCCCTCCCTTGCCTTTTTCCTTTGCTTGTTAGTTTTTAATTTGGCCTAGGCTAGAACTGGTTTAATGTAGTCAAAAGGCTTCTAGTAAAATTCTCATAATGATTAAATATTTCTTTATGTGATGTATGATTTAGGATGAGGCTTTTAACCACTTTTTCATTGCCAAATTAAGTGAGATATTAGCATGGCAAATTAACTTTTAAATTTTTTTTGTTCCTAAATACGTATTTATAGGTGCTATTTCCATAAAGGATATAGCTAATTTCTGATCAGTATATCATGTATTTGTAAGTGCTGATAAACAATAACATTTTGGAAATAGTTTCCTCATAATAATTCATTTGAGAGACCTTCAAAATCATTCAAGACCTCAATCTGAGCAGAAGAAAAGGTATGTTTTATGTAAAATGATACAAGAAGCTTGAAAGTAGAGGAAAGGGTAAGAAACAAGACTAATTAGCTGACATGCTATGAGGTACAGGATGGTGAGTCTCAGGTCTCACTCTAAGAGCGTGTAGGTAACCACCAGCATAGCTGATGCTGTGATTTTCCAAGGGATGAAGTCAATTCTACCCAAGTTCCTTCTGACCATTCTTCCAATGAAATGCTGAAGAAAATTATGCTTGCGTAATACGAGAAATTTGTAATTTATTTATGGTTATGTTCTATTAGTTTTAGCTGACAGCTCTTTTAACTGTAATGTTTCTATTGCAAAATATGGAGTGATTGATAACAGAATAAAAATTAGTTGCTGTTAATACTAATTAACAGAAATACAAGACTGTTGGTTGATGCTCTCAGTGGCTACCTTTAAGATTTTAACCTACATTTCAGTTTGTTTTGAAATGAGCCGCTGAAAAATTCTGATTCTCTTAGCTCCTTTGAAATTCTTGGGTTAAAACTCTAAGCTGTAGCTATAGAGGAAATTAATTCAAAATCTAAATTATTTGCTATCATTCTGCCCTCCAAACTCAGTGCTAGAAAACTTAGCATGGGTGATAGAGCAGAGGCAAAATTTAGTTGATGAACTGAGAGAAAACTTTTCAGAAGACAGTCTTGCATAGCTTCCTACTTACATAAGCAAAATATCCTAAATAAATTTTAGTTGCAGGGCACAGCAGTTCATTTTCCCCACCACCACCTAATTAATATTAAAGGAAAAACAGTAATTAGATTTGGAAATTAGAACTACTGCATCACCAACTTAATTTTTCATGATCCATCTCTAAGATGACCTTTCACAGAGCTGCCTGTAATTCCTCTACATAGATGTCACCTCACAAAGGAAAGCCTTTAATTGCCTATTCCTTGGGGTTAGGCCATTGCCTTTCAACACACAGCTCTTCCTGTGCCTTAGAAATACTAGTTATGATGCTACCTTCCAGCCTTAGGAACTAGGGTAAGGATGTCCCTGGTAACAGACAGGATCTCTGTTTTAGCCAAACAGGTTCTCATTATTTCCACTCTGTGGGAGGGAAATTGTGTCATGTGTAATGGACTCATTACTTTGTTATATTCTGCCATTTTAGAGGGGTAGGAGGGACTTCAAAAATGTTTTTGGATATACTAATGATTATACCTGTTTCAAATAGTAAACTAGAATTATTGATGACTGTGTGTACAAAAAAAAGGAGGGTGGGGGGGAAGGGAGAGGGTACATGAGTGAAGGAGAATGTTCCTCTGTAAAAGTTTTGAACATTTAAATTCAAAAAATGCTGAATGAATCTGATGCAGTGTCAAACTGAATAGCCCTAAAGGTAACCTGAGTGAGAAAACTGCAACTTAGATGCATTTTACGCAGAAACTACAGGCTTATTCTACATCCAGTTTTCTTTTCTGATACAAAATGACAACTTCAGTCCACTAACAATTTGACAGGGTTCTAAATTCAACATAGCAATTTACTCACTTATTTGATCCAGTATAGCAACATTCTGTTTCTAGGACTGATTTGCTTAAATTGTACAATGAAATTATAGCCAATGTAAAGAGTTAAACCTGACTGTGACCACCTGTGGAAAACATTTTTAACTGTGCTCTTCATACAATAGCTGATGCTTACCTCACATCCACCTTTATTTATTTCCAGTTATTGAAGAATTATCAGAAGTGGAGAATTGAATGCCCAGAAATAAGTGCAGATTTACAACCATCTTCTGTTCTTGGTCTTTTGCAAGCTGGCTATCATGGAGTCCTTAGATCAAGGGACCCACATGGAAGCAAAGTTCTAATATACAGAATAGGTGAGTGACAAAATTAGCTGGAACTGTTTCACACCCAGTTCTGGCACTGGTATTTTTTGTTTGTTTTGTGGTTTTTGTTTGTTTGCTTGCTTTGTGGGGTTTTTGTAGAGTTTTTTTGTGTTTTGGGGTTTTTTTGGTTTGGTTTGATTTTTTTTAATATTATCACAATTTCTGCAACAAATCAAAAATATGTTATGGTTACAACTGTCACCAGGCAGCTGTTGGTCAAATCAGATAATATCATGTCTTGACAGGTAACATATTGATGTTCTCTGTTAGAAATACCATTACATTAATATAAAGGTGAGTTACTGAGCTGTGTTACATCATTTTACTTATATTACTGGTATGGCTAAAGCTGTACAATTCTTAAGAGAGAACCCAATTTCCTTCTTAGTGGAATTCTTGTCAGTATCCAAAGAAGTCTTAAAGCTTAAAACTTGTAAGATTATGTGGTTATTTGGGTCTGAGTGTCTCAACAATTATTTGTATTCATATAAATTTTCAAACCCATGGGCTAAGACTGTGGTGCAGGTGCAGCACATAGAGGGAAGAACATAAAAAAAAAGGTGTATACCTAGTCATGTATCAATGCTCTGTTTAGGTGTGGATGAACAGTTCACCGGGTTTTCAGTGTTTACTTGTAGCCAAAGAGCCTTATCTAACAACACTTAGAAAATGTTTGAAGCACTCCCAAAAGTCTTTTTAAAACAGACATAGTTATGAATATGGTTTAGTTATATGAATCAATTGGATATAATATAGTTATATGAATCAATTGGATTTGATGACCTGTACTCTTAGCTAGCATGACTGAGCTGTTCCTGTCAAAACCTTGCTCTGGAGACTGGATCCGTAGGTGGAACATACTACATTAGGTGATGTCTATAACCATTTACCCTTAGGTGATACTATCTACTGAAAAAGCATAAAAGATGAGTGACAGAGCAGGCATACAAAGTAACTTATGTACTACAAATCAGTTTATTTCAGGACGTTTAATATTGCTGGTTAGTTCTTGTTCCTAAGACACACATTAGAAGCAGTAGCAAGCAAAACTACGGGTATATGGGGTATTCTCATGGTAATGCAGAGTAATCTATATACTCTTCAGGACAATGGGATCCCAACTTATTTACTGCATACGATGTGTTTCGTGTAAGTCTCATCACATCTGAACTCATTGTAAAGGAGATTGAGACTCAGAGGAATGGAGTCAAGGCTATCTTTGATCTTCAAGGCTGGCGATTTGCTCATGCATTTCAAATCAGTCCAGCAGTGGCCAAGAAAATCGCTGCTGTTCTCACAGTAAGTATGACACACTGTTTTATGCAGCTTCATTGCTCTAACTTTCAATTTTTCATTTGTTCTAAGCTATAGTAAATTTTCATTCTGTAGACCTTCTCAGTCTGTGCAGCTTTAAAGAACTAAATCCTAAATCCATTAATAGGCATAGGTTGTGCTTGATTTTACTTGAAGTATGTTCTTCGATAGCAGTAAATGCCCTGTAACTTCTGGTATCTTATAAGAACTCCACTGACCTGTTACAACACAAGAATTTCATGACTATAAGAGCAGGCAGTTTTAGAAGGGACATGCATCTCTTCTTTTCCATTCTTTTGTGCATTAACTCAACATTCAAAGACTCAGAGAATATAATAAATGGCATGCACTCAGTAGTTAAGAGCAAGGCATTACTAACTCGTTACCAGTATGAATCTTCCATCTGCTACCAACAGAATGTATGGTGTTTATGTTCCGCTTGCTTTTTGCCCCCAGCATGAGAATTGTTTTGTGCAAATCACTGCTACCTCACCTCCTATTTTCATAAAACTTCTAGGGACTTTAATTTCTTTAGGGCTTATGCCTTTCTACCAAATTCAGCTGAATTTTGCCTCAGGATTTGTGAGGAAAAAAAAGAATGAAAGAAAAAAGAGAGGGACAGAGAATTGCCTGGCAAGCTACAGTGTAGTTCTATAATCCCATTTTCCTTCAGAAGTTGGGTTGAAAGTCAGAAATAATAAAACTGTTAGCCTGTGATGTGGAAATGAGCCAGAGAGATAATCTCTTGCTCTGATTTGGTAAGGTTCATATCTGAGGTTAAATCAAAGCTTAGTCATTGAACTAATATCATCAGAATTTCAGCTGTTCTTCCTTTTTGGTATCTACTGTAAAACTGTAGTGAAACCATCAGGTATTCAAAACTTTTCACATCTGGAATAAGAACTCTTGGTGTTATACAATCTTGAGCCAGATCTCATGAAAACAAGACAAGTTAGAGAGTTTCAGTTGATTTCTGGGGTAGTAAACAAATTGCTAGTAATTTTTTTAACCTTGAAGTAGAGCAGAAAGGAAGTAGAATAGGATTTTCAAGTACCTCTAAATGTTTCAATCCATTACCTCAAAGCAGGAAATTCTTTGAATGTGATGTTTCCATCTTGACCTATTTCAGATTTGTTGCATGTCTTTCAAGCTTCTAAATGTTTATTACAGCTATTGAAAAAAATAATTAAAACTTGTGTGTTTCCAGTGTTCTTTTCTAAGATGAGAAAGAATTTTAACTCTTTCTTTTTTTTCTTTTTTTTCCCTGATTTCTTTCATCGCTTTAACTGGATTCATATATTTCACCCAGAGATTGTCTTAGAGTTATTCAATATCATAGATTCATAGAATCATAGAATATGCAGAGTTGGAAGGGACCCATCAGGATCATCGAGTCCAACTCCTGGCCCTGCACAGGACACCACAAGAATCACACTACCGGCCTGAGAACGTTATCCAAACATTTCTTGATCTCAGACAGGCTTGGTGCTGTGACCACTTCCCTGGGGAGCCTGTTCCAGTGCCCAACCACCCTTTGGGTGAAAAACCTCTTCAATATCTAACTTAAATGTCCCCTGACACAGTTTCATGCCATTTCTATGAGCACTGTCACTGGTCACCCGAGAGAAGAGATCTGTGCCTGCCCCTCTTCTTCCCCTCACGAGGAAGTTGTAACTGCAATGTCTCCCCTCAGTTCTCCTCTTCTCTAGACTGAACAGACCAAGTGACCCCAGCCCAGCCGCTTCTCATATGGCTTCTCCTCAAGATCCTTCACCATCTTCGTTTTCCTCCTTTGTATGCTCTCTAACAGCTTACTGTCTTTTTTATATTGTGGTGCCCAAAACTGCACACGGGACTCAAGGTGAGGCCACAGCAGTGCAGATTAGAGCAGGACAATCACTTCCTTTGACCGGCTGGTGGTGCTGTGCTTAATGCACCCCAGCAAATGCTTAATGCACCCCAGAATATTCTTATAAGTAAATAAGAAACCTAGGTTTTTAACCTTATGTTTTACTTAAGAAATGTGTCTTGCAAATTACTATCCTGCATGAAGAAACAGAAGCTAGTAGAAAGGAAATATGTATTAGGGAATGGAAAGCATAGTAAGAATAGTAAGTGACATTATCTTGAAAAATCTGTTACCTCAGTTGAAACAAATTGTTTCATGAAAAACATGGTAGTAGACTTTAGGTATATGATAACAAATAATAAGATGAAGTAAAAGTATAATCGAATAGTTTTTAGGTCTTTATCATACATTAAAATCTAAAAGGAGTGGCACTTAAGAAACGTGTTGGGTTTGAATTTTTTCATCTTTCGAACTACAGTACTAGAGAGGAGAAATGTTTGTCAGAAGTACGATTCTTACAAGTGCAAAATGTCTGGTTGCAGAGCCAGTATCAGGTGAGATATAAATGGAAACTGTACTTTCCCCATTGCACAATGCTGGTTTTGAGAACTGGCATATTTTCTTTTAAATTTCAAATATCTGGGACTTTTAAATGAATCTTGAATGCAAGTAGAACTATTTCATATTATAAAGAGTTTATAGCAGATAATTTTTTTAAATTTTCATTACAACAGAAATTTTGTTGTAAAGCTGAACTTCTGGCTTGGCCAAATTCCCAGTAATTTCAAGGCTTGTCTCTAAATTATAAATATAATTTATTTAAATTCAAGTTAGTATCTTCAATAGTTCATATTTGTAAATATTTACGTATTATCCTGCAGGCTGTGAGTTGCCAATAAAAGCACATACCTCAATTCCTTTTTTGTAAATTAGCAGCAGAATCTCTGTTGTGAAGAATTATACCTTAGAGGAAAGGCTGAGCACAAAGTTTGTGTACAATATTTATGTGCAGTTTGGTGGCGGTTTTCTTTTTTGTTTTTCTGTTTGCTTGTTCTAATAATCAACCTCTCCTCTTACTGATTTTTTTTTCTTTCTAATGGGAGGAACAAGATATGATTTTTTTAAATGTTGTTGTAGCAGTGTGAATTAAGAACACTCCAAAATGCAGGAATTGGCAAGATCAGGAGGAATAGTTTAACCTATAGACTAGGCAGGTCTTATCCTTAGCAATAGAATCTTTTCAATAATATTTTCTTTTTCTTATGCTGTTTTTCATGTATATTGACAGGATTCTTTTCCACTAAAAGTTCGAGGTATCCACTTGATTAATGAGCCTTTATTCTTCCACCCAGTCTTCGCTCTAATTAAGCCTTTTCTCACTGAAAAAATAAAGGAACGGGTGAGTGCACACAAATATTTCTTTCTGCCACAAAACCCTAATAAGACAACCTGTAGCACTTCCCTTAGTATCTGTCACTCCTGAGCTTTGAAGAGCATAAATCATATTTGTTTGTTAGTGCCATACTGGCCTCCAGAATCTAATTGTAAAGCATTTGCAGTTATCAATAACATGAGAGTTGCAAGTGGTGCTGTTACCAGCACTCTAAAGACAAAAACCACTGTTACACAGAGAGGTTTAATAATTTGCTTGAGGTTACAAAGCAATTATTCTGCAGAACTAGAAAGAAATAGGTCTTGGATCTCCCAGTACTCTGCCTGTAAATGACAGAGAAAAAATATCACTGAACAGTGATGTTATGCTCCAAGTTGTGCAGAATTAGTAGAAGACAACTGCTTAGCTCTGAAAGATGCTCAGAGGCATTTATGCATCAAAAATAGGTCAGACTTATGTTTGAAGTTTTTTTCCAAATATCTTCCTAGTTGTTTTCAATAATTTTGCAGTTATAAATCTGCAAATCTTCCAAATACAAACCTATTTGTATTTGGACGCAAAAGCATGCCAAGAATTCTGGTTAATTGTAGCACGGAAAGAATATTGGACTTTTCAGATGGCATAAAAGTGAAGTGTTGACGGCAGGACTAAGGTACAAAATAAGCACTCCTGTCTATTGTTATTCCCATTCTGAAGCCTCCTTTTCTCAGCACATGGGTCTTGTACATTTACAATAGCCACTGCATTCCAGGACAGTAGACACAGATCTTTCTGGTCACTGTTAGCTGTAATTTGCCAGTCCCCTTTTCCTAGTGTGTGTGTTGCTATGAGAAAGAGGAAGCCTTGTGCAGTCCCTCACTCTCAAAAGATGATAGAAAGAGGGAGTATGTTCCAGCAACCTGAAGCCCTGGCCCACCTTTTCTCACATTAACACCTGTGAAAAAAGCCCATATCACCTGATCCAGTTTTGAGCTAGAACTTTAAAAGTGGAAAAGAGGGCAGATGGACACCAAAGGCCTAACCCAAAACAAACTTGGTATCCTAGTTCATTGAGTGCAACAGAAGCAGCTTGTTTGCCTCTTAGTTTAGGATTACAGGTATGATCTGAAAAAAAACAACCCAAACCAACCCAACCCTAAGGGCCAGTTCCCCATACCCTTACAGAAATAATTACTATTCACTCATTTATCTTACTTCCTGATGAGGAAGTGTTAGAGGAAAGACAGCCAACTTGCTTTTGAGTGTATATCCTTATTGTCTTTGCGTAATAATAATTGCAGAAAATTCTTGTCAAGTGTTAATAAGAGGCCTATAATGAGAAGAAACAAAACTACAGTATTACGAGGGTTAAAGTGGTGGAGTAGTCCAGGATCTAATTTCAGTTGATATTGAAACATAAGGACTAAGATATAAATTCTTTTGAATATCTTTCTTGACACATGCCTGAACCAACATACTACATAATGTTGTTTTTAAACACATGTGGCAGGACCAGATAGTGTTGGCTAGGAGCCAGACACTATCCTTTTCTTGGAAATGACTGAAAGGGAAGCACATGATATCATGACTAAACCAATCTCCAGTCCTCCCACGGTTTAGCCTTTGGGATGTTGTGTGTACGTTTGTCAGTGTTGCTAAACCCGTCTGGAAAAAGTGTGTAGTTAGTTTTGGCTCCTGTGCTCACAGCTACATAAAATGCAGTTATCAGGTTGTAGTTTATCCTTCAGCAATATTCAGATACTGAGCAGACAAAGTTTGAGCAGCCATGGGAAACTCACAAAGTATTTCCTTAATTTTTTAAGGGGCTAATTATGAACAAGTACACTTGTTAAGTCAAACCATGCTGGTGGCTTCAGCTCTTCAACAAAATCTGTTTGCTGCCTGTTTTCACTCAGTAGTCTAGCATTCACATCCAAATAAATGCTTTTCATATTTTGTTTTAGGTGTATATGCATGGAAATAACTACATGCAGAGTCTGACTGAACACTTCCCTGTCAGCATTCTCCCACTGGAATATGGGGGGGAGGAAGTCTCCATTGAAGAGCTGGCTAAAGAATGGACTGACTTTATAATGGCATCTGCAGATTATCTTCAGAGCATTTCTCTGGTTGCACAGGAATAACCTTATATCAATTCTTAAACAGTGAAAATGGAAATAAGTTTAATATGAAAACATTCATTTGAACTTGAAATTATTGCGAATTAAACCAGTGTATCTTTGCAGGGCACTGAATATTATATTGGCTGCACTTTATACTAACTGGAGTCTATCAGTATGTGTGTCTGAAGAGATTAATGAATTCTACATATTCGTAGTACTGTTTGTAATTGATTAACTTGTATGCCAGAAAGTTGAAGAATGCATTGGATATCAGATTGATACTGCTCCTATTAAGTCTTTGGAGACAACTCATTTGTAATAATGCAGTCCAGAACTTCACACTCAGCTCTTGGAGCTTGGCTTGTCAAGACAACAGGATACAAAACAAAGAACGGAATGTGGCTAGGGTAGAGTATGAGTACGGGGCTAATTTACAAGGAGAGAAGAGGCTGCTTTTTGGATTGATTCTCAGGGAAAAAGGCTATTTTGTTAGTCTGTGTCAAATTGAAAATTAGTTAGCAATAGTAAGACATTTGTGTTAATCTTTGTGCTGCTTGTGCAACTTCCCCTTTTGTGCTAATTAACACAGTATCTTCCAGTTTTATAAAGGAAGCTGGGGAAAACACCATGTACCTATTCTTCAAATGACAGTATGAATCAGGAGGAGGAACTGGTAAGAGAGCCCAAAAACAAACTTGAAAATTATTTTCTTTCTTCAAGTTGATGTTGTGTATGGACAACTATAAGCAACTCAGATTACCACCTTTAATTCTTACTGTAGAGGACTACAAAGGTCAAGAGCTTTCAGCTTGTTTGCATTATCTGTTTGTTTCAGAGTGAAGTAGGATATTCTTTGTGGATCTGAACTTTAGAAATACCTGTTACATAGTTTAAGGGTGCTTTGAGATCACTGAACCTCAGCATAGGAGATGCTGGGTGTCTTTATTTTCAGAACAATAATTGACAAATTGACATTCTATTTGCTGTTAGGCACTGAAATTTTTAATTTCTATTAAGCCGCCTTTGTTTCTGCAGGGGTAATGAAAAAAATCTCTATATACTTACTGGAAACCAGTTTCTGTTTTGTTTTGGTTTTCTAAGTGGCATTATTGAGATATGAACGCTGTATATGTAAAAGCTATCACTCACATTACATAGCAGTATCATCCTGCAATCCCCAGTATCTAATGATCTAAAGTATTATTTTACTTTTCACTCAGCTTTTTCTTAAAATCTCTGTTAGTACAATAACTACTGGAGTCCATTTACCCAGTTTTTAACTTTGTTTTGCAATAAGCCAAGAGATCTTTGCATAAGCGGTATATATTTAAGCATTCCATATGAGTCTTCATATAAATGAATCTGTAACAAATGCTTTGTTTCTCAGGTAGCTATAAATAATAGCTTCAGTTATTTTGGAATCTTTAGGACATTGGGATGCTATATTCATATATGCTTAGGGGAGAGAAATTATACTATCCTGTTAAGTCAGAAATGTCTTATTTTACATTATGACTAATACTGCATTATTGTGAAAGTCATTGGAAGCTATTCTTTATTAGCTAGAGGAATATCTATGAAAGACACATTAGAGTACTTGTTGGTTGTAGTTTCTTCTGCTATGGTAAGGTCAATGCCAGAAATTCTTTAAAAACTGACAAAGCTTCTTAAGCTTTTTTTCTTCCAATTCCCTGATTTTCTCAAGTGTATTTTTCATTCTCCTCTTTCATGATATATTTGATATGGAGCCTAAATTTAATTAAACCTTTTCCAGATACTTTTTCATAGGATCATATATTTCATATATCTTTTTTTTTTTCTCAGATTGAACTATTTTGTGATAAAAAATCTCCTTAAATAGAGGAGTTCAGTGAACTGCTAATTCTTTTTTATAAGAAAATAAACTGAGTAGTCAGGCATCTGGCAATTGTTCAAGTGTGTATCTGAAGTTCCAAATCATTTACAACTGGAGAACTGAAGCTATTGTCTTAATTTTTCAGTCCTTCAATTTTAATCCTTGAGTGTAAACTGCACAAGGGAATGAGCTATTTTTCAGTGAACAGGAAAATTTAAACTTTTCCCACGAAACCAATCTCCAGTTGTTGCTGTTTTTTGTAGCAGAGACCTCATTTGATTGCATATGTATATGCCCATGCATATGTAGCTGTTTTTTAGGTTTTTATAATCTTTATTTGGACTACACCAGCTCTGTGGACATAAAGTCCTAAATGTCTTCAAAAATATCCTGAATCTGTTATTAAGTGGTAGCATGTTTGCATAACACAACAGTTAGAGCACTGAGTGCAGTTACTTTTTCATAAACTTAATTATTTTTTAATGTTTACATATTATATAAAAGGTGGGAACTCTAATTGCACTTGCTGCTAATAGTAATGACACAAGATAATTGTAATATTTGCATAATTAATGGTGAGGTATTAGTATGATAGGAGATGGTGTGGCAGCTTTGAGCATCAGTCAAAAAAACAAAGATCCCTAAGTTCATTATTCTTCAAATACATCAGAAGTGCCTCTAAAAAAAGAAAGTTCCTGTTAAACAATGCAAACGTAATTTACTACTGACTGTAAGCACAATGTCATGCACAATGTTTTTTAATATTTTTTTACATATTAACGCCATTTTAATTAATAAACAAATTCTGGTCGAACTATCCTCGTCTGTCACTGTTTGGCGGTACAAGCGTCCCTTTCCCGGCACGCAGAGAAGGAAGAGGCCGCGGGCAGGACCGAAGGCATCCCTTCGCGCCGCACACGCCTGCGGGGCGGGGCGGGGCGGGGCGGGGCGGGGCGGAGCGGCTCGCCGGGACTGCATTTCCCAGGGAGCCGCGGCGCAGGGCCGGGCCGGGAGCCCAGCCCGGAGCCGTTGGGTCCGGTCGGCCGTGGGCGACGTGGCCATGGGGCGCTTTGCAGGGCTCCGTCTCGGTCCGGCCGCCACCCTCCTCCTCCTCCTCCTCCTCCTGGCCGTGCTGCGCTGCGCCACCGCCTTCGTGGTGCGGGAGCGCTCGGCGGAGCGCAACGACAAACCCATCATCGGTAAGGGGCGGCCGCTCGCCGGGCATCCCCGGCCGCGCCGGGCTGCCTCGCAGCCGCCTCGGTGGTGCCGGGGAGGGAAGCGCTGCCGGTTTCTGGGTGGAGTGAAATGTCTCACCGAGCGTAGGCTTGGTTGGAGCAGTTGCAAGTAGCGTTAACGCTATACATGCTTTCTCTAAAAAAATAAATCTTAACGATAGGCTATTTAAGAAGTTGTAGTGCTAAGCAGGGAAGCCGAGTCTTCGTCAGGTTATCTGTGTTTATGCGGTACCTTGTGACGGGGCACCGTAATTGATGCCCCGTTGTCTCCGTGCCTGTAATTCCTCCGGGCAGTAAATATATCACTGCAACCTGTCATATAGGAAATGGGAGTTTAATTAATTAATTAATAAGACCACAAGCCTTATGAGGAGCGGCTGAGAGAGCTGGGGTTGTTTAGCCTGGAGGAGGCTCAGAGGTGACCTTATCACTCTCTGCAATTGCCTAAAATGAGGTTGTAGCCAGGTGGGGGTCGGTCTCTTCTCTCAGGCAGCTAGAGACAGGACAATAGGGCACAGTCTTCACCCGCACGGGAGGGGTTCGGTTGGACGTTAGGAAGAATTTCTCCACAGAAAGGGTCATTGGAGTGGAACTGCCCAGGGAGGTGGTGGAGTCACTGTCCCTGGAAGTGTTTGAGGAAAAACTGGACATGGCACTTAGTGCCGTGGTCTAGTTGACAGTGTGGAATTCGGTCAAAGGTTGAACTTGATGGTCTCCGAGGTCTTTTCCAACCTAACTGATTCACTGATTCTGTGATTCTTCTTTCAGTGTGTAATATTTGACATGTGTATAGTGCTAATTTTCTTTTGACCTTTCAGGGATATTGGCACAGGAATGCCACTTTGGTGAGTTCCAGAGCTTTGGAAGATCTTATATTGCAGCTTCATATGTGAAATTTGTGGAATCTGCTGGTGCCCGAGCTGTGCCAATAAGGTAAATTTTTTTATATCCTTAGGAGTGGATAATAATTGTATTATGTAAGGGTACCACCTTAGAAACACAGAAAGTTGTTGTGCTGCTTTTCTGAGTGTTTATTGCTCCTCAAAGACTATTTGAAGATGTTAGAATTTTCAGGGAGTCTTTAGAAATCAGCATAAAAGCAGAGTGGACATGTACATTTTAATATTCCTTCTTACGTTAATAGTCTTTTTTTGGAAAGTGCTAATTTTTTTTACTTGTAAAATTGCCCTTTGTCGTTTGCATCCGTGGTTTTTGAAGTTAGCTGGTTTAAGTCTTCTGTGTAGTGCCTACAAACACACATAGATATCTAGATACATAGATACCTACTATCTTTTGTCACATTCTGTAGCCATAGAATTCAAGGAATCAAGCAAGGCTACCAGTACTCCTTTAAGAAACCAAAGTCCCGTTCTGTTCAAACTATGGGTTACTAACTCCATGTGTTGTATTTTGGTTGTTGGATAAAAAGTAGCAGACTAAGTAACATAACTGACTGTACTTCATAGCCAGCAGCTAGCTATAAAATATTAAGTGCACTGAAATCAAATGATAAAATTATAATTGTCAGAACTTAAAAACTGTACTAATACATCTGCAGAAAATCTGCACAGTCCAAAAAGAGCACCAATTAAGTGCCTGAATTAGAAGCCAACATTCCTCATGTAGCTAGTGGGACTTTCAGAATCTTTGTTGACCAGAAGCTTCATCCATAAATGGATGCTTCTAATTCTGGCAATTAAGTTAGATGCAGCAAAGCTGGACACTTTGACTTGTACCCAGCATATCAGTTTTTCAGAAGTGTAGCCATCTGTGCTATCTGGTTTTGGCTGGAGTAGTATTAATTCTCTTCACAGTGGCTGGAATAGGGCTATGTTTTGGAGCTGTGCTGAACACAGGGCTGATAATATAGAGATTGTTTTATTATCACTGAGCAGTGCTTACACAGAACCAAGCCCTTTTCTGCTTTTCATACTGCCACGCTGGCAAGGAGGCTGGGGGTGCATGGGTGTGACCCAGCATTTGCAGCTCTGCCCTTCTTGGAGTCAACTGGAAACCGGAGTTGCCGGTCTGCAGGAAATAATAACCATACCATTCCTGTAAAGGGTAAATTTTTTGAGCGTCTGCAAAAGGGTCTCAGAGTACCTAATCCTGAACTATACCTGACAGGGCCCTATTTTCAATCTTGTGGATTGAGTTGTTTCAAGTGAAATGATTAATTTGAATTGGGTCTATTGTATTCTGTTTAAAGCATGCTTTCTACATATTTTCTATGTCTGATGCTTCTGTTCAATAACAATTATATTCTTGTGGTTAAATATGTGTATTTCTTATGTATTCTATAATTATTTTTTGGTGTTTCAGATTAAATCTTACAGATGAAGAATATAGTAGAATATTCCACTCTATTAACGGGTGAGTTTTGAGCACTGATTTTTTTGTTGAATCACATGATAGTTCCGTTTTTGAGCTCTGCTGTATTCCCAAGAACACTGTCTTCCTACTCTTTATGGAAGTTGTGCTGGGCACTGCAGATGTGAAAATATATTCTAAGAGAGGGAGTGCATTATTTCATCCAGTATCGATGTGCTGCCTTTCCTTCCTTGAGGAACACAGCAGATAATCTGCAACAGTGCCAAGGCTCATCTTGGCATTGTCCTGTGCTAGTCTGCAGGCAGGCAGAAGTGGCATCATAGTTATTAACAATTTTTCAAGTGAAATATCCCACTTCCTCTTTGTTAATTTTTCTCTCCTCCTCATTTGAGCTGTCACCTTAATTTTGATGTTTCATAGCACTTGTTTGGTATTTCATCTCTGTTCCTACCCTTTCCTTAACAGATTTTATTATGGGCTTAGCAAAGTCAAAACCTTTTATAGTTTTTTTTAGCCTTGTGCTAAAAGTGCACTTTAGAAGAGTAAAATCAGCTGATGCTGCACTTCACAGCCTTGATTGTATATGAGGCCATAGCATGTGATTGGGCTACTTGTAGTCATGAGGTGAGCATCTTAAACCATGGATATTTTTGTTAAGCTTATGCATATGCTGGAGTGTTAATCAGCATGTGTAGAATTTTTAGAATTTAGACTTTTGGCTGTCCTTAGAGAGCACTGTCCTCATGTAACACATCATGCCCTGTGCACTAAACCCCTGGGTGTTTGCAGTCTTGTGATATATAACCAAGTATTAGACAGTGACACTTTGTTCCCTGTGGCTAATCATGTTAGAGACAAAATGAATAATTTCATCCCTTTCTCATGGCTACCAGCCTCTCTTTGGTTACCAAAAGGTCTTTTCACCAATGGGGTCTTCCATTCTTTCTACCTCACCACCTACCTCAATGCAGAAGAGGGTGTTAGGCAAGTAGATCCAGTTCCCATGTCCTTCTATCTTTGCAGTAACTGTCAGTTGAGTTTGTGCTATGTAGGTGAGTAAGGATGTTCTGTGTTTCCTCTGCTAGCCCTCCACTGTTACCTAATGGCTTCCACAGTATAGCTGTGTGTATAAAAAATAAGATTGCTGGAGGGAATTACTTCTCTTTTTATGGAAACTTAGAATAAGAAGGAGATTCAATGATCTTTCATGTTGCTTCTTTGCAGTTGGAAATTTCATATTATTAAATGCTACCTTCTTAAAATCACGAAATTTGCTATGGCAGAGACATAATTTTATGAATATAGCAATGTACACTTGAGGTAGCCTTTGAAATGCTCAGTGTACCTCATCAGCTCTAACCAGTTAGAGATACTGGAATACACGTAGTTGCATTTCAATCTGCTTATGACAATGTCAAGCCATTATCATTGCTACTTAATGGGTTATTTCCTTTTTGTATTAGCGAAAATGGCAATCATTTTTCCTAATTAGTATTGACCAGTTTTTGGTTTGAACAAAAGGAATAGGTGGAGTGAATTTTTCACCACTTCCAGGTAAGGCTCACCTTTATTTGTTTAATTAGATCTCTGAAGAAATCTATAATCTAGCCTGTTTTAAAAATACCTTCAGCTGTATTAATTTTCAGTGTTGACAATGGAGAGTAATCTGATTTATATATTTGTGAATACTGTTTTTCCACCAAATGCTTGGTGGCTTTTGCATGATCCTGTGCACTGTTCACCTTAAAATAAACCCGGTCACAAGGGTTTAAAAGCACAGTTGCTCTGCCAAGACATGGGATCACTTGAGATGTTAGTTGTTTCTAACTGCTTGTTAGCATCTCATTGATGCGGGTTGCCATTTTTATAGCACAGAAATGCTGAGGAAATCCTTCAGCCATTTTGGTAAAAAATCAACTAGTGGATGTGGCTTGAGTAAATCTAACTAGGTTCTGCAGCAGTGGGATAAAGAGCGCTCACACATCCAGTTCTGTTCTGTGGGCACTGTTGCAGGTACAGCCAGCAGAGGCTTCTTTTATGTTACTGTTTTGATGATATTTTATTACTTTCTGTGTCATCCTGTGTACATGTGATATCTCTGCAAGACTGCACTGAATCTTTTTTTTTTTGTGGTGTTTGGGTTTGGGAATCCACACAGGGAATTGGTTCTGATGATTATTTTTTGTGGTGGAAAAAGCTTGCGCACTATTTTTTTGAAATTGTTTCTGAGATTGCTTTGTCTTCAGCT